CAAAGGAGGCGGAGGCGGAGGAGGAGGAGGCAGAGGCGGAGGCGGAGGAGGAGGAGGAGGAGGCGGAGGCGAAGAACGAGGAGGAGAATCAGGAACGAGGACGAGCAGGTTACAACAAGCACACCTGAGAGGCCATCAGCAGAAGGTAGGTCAGCATTTCTCCCCATGTCATCTCTGCAGCAGAGTCAGACCCTTCAGTTCCTCACAGCAGCAACGAGACCGATGAAGGATTGTGCGACGTCCATGGTAGCCAGCCTGACCCAGAAGCCCGGAGAAGCTGTAAAGCCGCTCAACGACACCAGTGGTAAGAGTCTCTACACTCACTCAGCGACTCTGAGTGATACCACTCGGGAAGACCCAGCTCCTGCTCCCGTCAAGTCACCATCACGATAGCACCATCGCCACCGCCACCCGCATCTTCCGCTTCCTCCTCCTCCTCATCATCATTGCATCATCGCCGCCGCCACCACCAACAACATCCTCACCAACCGCGTCATCATCACCATCATCCTCACCAACCGCGTCATCATCACCATCATCCTTCTCACCAACACAACCATCACCACCACCATTCCTACCTTGGAGAAGAGCTTTCGATGCATGAAGCCGCCGAACTTCCCAGGGCCATTGGTAAGATGGGACAGGATCGCTCCGATCACCTACAGCTCATGAGCATCTTCCTTCTCCTCCCAGCAGCATCACGATCAGCAGGATCGGCCCGTAGAACACCAGCGGGCCGACGACCCACTTGCTCTGATTCAACCTACAACCCCATCAGCTCCATCTAGCCCCAGACAGCAACAGCCATACCGCACGGTGAAAGGTCCTTCTCTCGGGGGCTTGGTGATGTCGTCCGGAAGGTAGTCTCCGTTTGTGCTGGACCTCAGCTCGTACCAGCTGTACAGCCGTCAGGACTCACAGTCGAGCTTATGGAGGGAAGGGACGCACGTGTTTGTGCTCTCGACGAGAAAGGCTTGGAAGCCCAGCTCCTTGTTGCTGGGCCATTGAATCGCTGAGGAGGGAGGGGAGAGCGATAGCGAGACAAAGCGAAGAGAGAAGTAGAGGGGAAAAGATACCAGTCAACAAAGTAAAGACGAGACAAGAGGTGAGAGGAAAGGGAAAGATGTTAGAGAGAGAGAGAAGTGGTGGAGGTGGAGGAGAGAGAGAGAGAGAGAGAGAAAGTAAAAGAGAAGAAAGGTCGAGCAGGAAACAGAGAGCGTCAGATCGATGCTGCTATTGTTTGAGACTCACTGAATCGCAATGGCTTGTCCTTGTTGAAGTATGCTGATCACCACAAACGATCACCACCCTCAGACGACGCCCTTCGTTCCCTCACCTTCTTCTGAGTAATGCGTCACAGCAGCTTTGCCTGGGCAGGAGTCCAAGACAGCCGTGTATGGCTGCAGCGAGCGACAAGGGACGCGAGCAGCAAAACAAACGAATCAGTACGCCGCTCTCATGGGAGGATCCAGAACTGACAGGTAGCGAGGAGAACTCTCCGAGGCCTCCACCGTTGAGGAGGTCATACGACTTGAACAAGAACCCCTTGAAGTTCCCATAGCCGGTCGACTGCAGCACCAAACGTAAATTTACGAGCTGACTTGTATCGCATGGACTACGTTGATGGATAGCGTTGCAGATTTATAAGTGCCGTTGCTGGTGATAGGAGAGAGGACGATCTGCATGGAACGTTACAAGCAGACCTTGCTTCGTCCCTAGGGCTCACCTTAAATCCTCCGTCCAGCGTCTTGGCATTGTTCGGGTGATGGCTGTCGGTTATCATGCCGTAGCATGATCCGGAGATTTCTGGATAGGCAGTGACCACTTCTAAGAGGAGGAGACAAGCACAGAGGCTTGCACAGGATCTCAACATTCTTGAGAATGAGAAGAGCCTGAAGAAGGAAGACTCAGCTCAACAGCAGGCATGGGGTAGATTGTGAAACATGAGGTGAAGGGAGGAAGTTCATGCGGATCAGGAGGAGGAGGAGGATGGAGTCGGTGCTGGTCAAAGCCGACTGTGTATCAGCATGAAGGCAAGAGGATCGGGAAGTAAGGTGGGGGTGGGTGGGGGATACTTCTAAAAAAAATTGGTCAGCAATGCACGGGGTCACAAGCATAGGGAGATAGGGGTACTTCAAAAAACCATTGGTCCCTGCGGAGGGTTGAGGGGTACGAGGGGTGGTACTCGGTGGAATGTTGAGGGGTGTCTTTATAGGTTGATAGATGTATAAAAGGGGGAGGGTGGGGTCATCCAGGGGGTAGTTGGACACATAAGGGACTCTTCATATTACAGGGGACGTGAGGGTACCATTTACGACGGGGGTGGTCATTTGTGAGGGGTGGGTGGATCAATTTGAAAGATTGGAACTTAGCATGAAACCTACTATCTCACAATTTGAAGATTTAGCCAACTCAACTGAGACATTTCAAATGTGTTCACACGTATCACGAATTTGTATAATAAAATGCAATTTGTTTTCACAACTTTTGAGATACATGATTGGAGTTGCTGAAAATGGAAGCAGGTCACCCAGGACCCCCTTCTTTGTAAGGGAGAAGCTGATCCTTGCCTGGGTGGGGTACGCACAACAAAATCTTTGCTTCCATTCTTGGACGCAAGGTCCCCAGGTGTAACTAAAACCCGTACCCCGATGTGCTTGCGGGACTACTACTGGTCCCCTATTTCCCTATAACAACCACCCCCTTCTCGATATCAATGATCCCCCTTGTCCCATGTGACCTGGCGGGGTTGCGACTGCAGGAGGAGCGAGCAACGAGGAGATAAAACAAGCCCAAGGAAAACATCGAACCCCCATCTTATGCACAGAAACAGGCAGAGAGTCAGAAAACAAGAAAGACTCTGAGAATGCATGATGAAAAGTGAAGCCGCTGTGTCTGCTACCTCAGCAAACGAGGAGAAGTTGGCAATGCGGTCGGGACAAGCATTAGTCAGCACGCAGGTTGCGGTCAGGGCAACATTAAGAGCTTCGGAGGCTTCTTGTGCAGTCACTGTGTGTGTTCATGCGAAATTGCGATGATTGGACTTGAGAAGCTCACCAATACAGTACAGGAAAGCTCTACGAAGCAAAAAGCTAGGTTCACTGCCACATGGGCATCAACCTAAAGCACTCAGAGATCGCATCGCTCACATCTACTGCACAGTACAGTTGCATTGTTGCTCATCATTTCCGAATTCCTAAGCTGAGAAAGCAAAGTTTTCTGAGTCCTGAGCACTCCAAGAAAGCGCAGAGAAGAGCGTGTCAGAGCTCATAGGAACCGAGCCCGAGTCAGACAAAGGCTTACTGGAAAGAAAGGACAGTTGGCGGTCTCGTACTCGTGTTTGAAACGGACTTCTCCTGGATAACCCAGGATACTCTAGTTCACTGTGAATCTCATCTGCCGAAAAGGACCCCTCTTGCAAGAACAGTGTACCCGTGTTGGCTTTCAAGCTCAGAGGACGGGGTTCTCTTCCCTACGAGAGAGCAAGGGAGACTCTACCCCTAGTCCTTTCCTTAGCCTACCGTACATAAGGATCAGCCTCTTCAGTCAGCTAGAGGGGTCTGTTCTCTCCTCATGTTGTATCATGCCACACACGCTGATCTAGCATAGTCACTAGTAAACTCGACTGCGCCGTTTTAGCTTTTGCTGTAGACGTCTGTAATTTGCCCGTACAGCTTCGGGGTGAGACATAGCCCGGCCTTCAAGAACTGACGGAAGTAGGGCTTTGAAGCTTGTTGGCGCTGCAATCATAGCCCCGGTTGACCGTTCGGGCCTGCGCCGGCCGGGCGCCAGCCTCCGAGGCGTGCCCGGCTGCGGCACCCGGTACCGTACCGTGGGGCCGCCGGGGCCCACGGTTACAGTACCCGGTACTTGAACGTACGGTCAGTGTATTTTATAATCATGATGATAATAAATAAAGAAGCGAGGCGGGCACGGGCTGGGTTTTCCCTGTCACAAATGAGGATGCGGACGACTTGCAGGAGCAGTTCAAGGAGAGGATCAGGAGAGAAACAAGGAGCAGGAGGAGGGAACAGGAAGCCTTCGACCGGATCGACAAGATCGTGATGCTTCTTGTTGCTGTGTTGAGCGTCAGGGTATCAGGGACCAAGCACAGAAGTTTGCAGCTGTAGCTGTAGATTGTTGAAGATAGAACGAACAGGGGGAAACGCAGCAGCTTAGTGGAAGAGAGATGAAAGGTCTTAAATCTGAGAGAATCTCGCCAGGAAGGGAGGAAACTCAGATGTCACTTGAGTATTCATGGCAGGGGAGATGCATGCTTGGTGGGGAGAGATGGGGCACGATGTCAAAGGCTTGAAATGTTGGTTTAAAGCAGTGTAGCGGCGGCCTTATCTCGTTACTTCTAGATTCATTGCTCGGCGGGGTTTTCGCATCGGTGACAAGTGAACGTGCGGAGCATGGAGGTGATTGCTGTGGAGTTTGGCGGGTCAGCCGAGTGACTCTCCTCAGCTGACAGACTTCTTCTTCATCATCCCCCTTCTCGGTGTTGCCTTCGTCGTCTTCCTGCTGGTCGGCAGAGGAGGGGAGCCTCGCGTGCAGGCAAAGATCCATGCCACGTCGTACTACAGCAACAGCCCTCACGTCTCCAGCAAGTCATACTGATGGTTTGTCAGCAAGGCCCTTGACACACCCATCATGTAGGATGACAGGAGCGCAGCCTTCTGTCTTGCAGTTTCTTACATACATGTAGTTTACACAGAGTACAGGGAAGTAATCTATTCTACACTTGTGTGATGAGGTGGACAGTGGAAGCTCATCGAAAGACCACGTGCCTCTCGTTGAGATTCTGGTAGCTGAAGAAAACGACATCACTCGGAAGCCCCTGCCCAGCAAGTGTCAAGTCGAAAGCACAATGGCCGGGATTCGGTGAGAATTGAGGGAGGGAAAGGGAGGGTGGGAGAGGGAGGGAGAGAGGGAGGGAGGGAGGGAGGGGGGATAGACAAGGCAGGGATAGAAGGAGGGAGAGGTGCGGAGGGAGGGTTAAAGGGGGCAGAGGATACAGCAAGAGAGGTGGAGGGAGGAGAGCACTGTTGAACAAGAGTCATACCTTCGAGCTCAGCATCTGCTCAAGCGCAACTTTGCAAGTGTCGGTACAGGAGTGGTTGCGACTCAGGTCGAGGACTTCGAGGGAAGGACTGGGATAACGGTCAGTAGAAACTCGGGAAGAGAAGACCAGATCGCTAACCAGTGGAACAACAACCTCTTGATCGAGCAAAGAATGCTTCGTCCTCGTCCTCCCTCCCCAACTCCTTGCTCCCGTATACCACCCGGCATGTCTGCTCGTCGCGTTGAGTGCAGCCCTTCATCTCAAAACCATTCTTGCCCGTAGCTTTCTTCTTGCACTTGAAGGCCTGGTTCTTGCTGAGGTCCAGGTGGAGCAGGGGAGGGCAGCTCTTGCAGAGGGCAGACACTATCGTCTCGATTCCCATCATCCCTAGATGATTCCCCGTGAGGAACAGATGCCTTAGGTGCCGAGCGGAGCTCAGGTAGTGCGCTGAGAGTGTCTCAGCCCCACTCCACCCGATCCTGTTGTTGGACATGTCCAGGCACGTCAAGCAGCGGTTGAGGTAAAGAATGTCGGACAGCCTTCTGCAGGAAGACTGTGACGACAGTCTGTTCTGGATCCTTAGTTCCGTTAAATTTGAAGTTGATATCCCCTCCAGCACCTTGGCGCATTCTTCCTGGTTCTGGCTCTGCCAGTCTTTTTCTAGTCTGCTTCCCAGCCGCAGGGTCGCCAAGTGCACGCAAGTCTGGAGGCCCCGGGCCATGGAGCCGGAGCCCTGGGCAAGGAGGTAGTTGCCGGAGAGGTCGAGGTAGGTGATGTTCTTGTTGGATCGCAGGACGTGCTCCAGGGCACCTCCGTTGGCGATGTGATTGCCTGCCAGAGTGAGCGACCGGAGCGAAGTTAGGAGGGACAGGTGCTCGCACAGGCGAGTGATGCCGCTGCCGTTCTCCTTCGCTATCCCTCCCTCGTCCAGCGGAAAGTCGTCGATGCCCAGCCGATGGTCGCCAAACTCGGAGAGTTCGAGGGAGGTGAGGGACGAGCATTTTCCTATGTACGGCGCTAGTGCGATAATAACGTGAGGGCCAGAGTCTGTCCAAGGCTTCGATAAGTTCAAGACTCTCAGATCCCTAGTCTGCTCAAGGAGGCGTGTCATCTGTGAGACGAACTGGTTCATCGATCCTGTGCCGATATTGTTGTCGCCCATCCACAGCTCTTGTATGTTGGCTCTGAGCGACAGCGACTTGCAGACTTCAGCTAGGCCTGTGCTGATGTCATGTTGGTTTGACATCTCGGGTTGCTGGGGACAGTTTCCTTCAAGGTTGAGGCTGATCAGTCCCTGTGCTGCATGCAGAAACCGGGCAACGAGGAAGAAATCCGAACAATTCAAGGTCGAGTAGCTTATGCTCAATCTCTCGAGGGACTTGCAGTGAGACAAGGCGACAAGAACTTTCTCAAGCACGTGCGACCGGATGATGTTGTGCTTGCAGCACGACCCGCCCATGTCCAAGGAAACAAGTTGGCGACAGCTCTTCAGACCTCTGGCAAGATTCAGAGCGCCTCTGTCGCACATGCAATTCCGTGAGATGTCAAGATGGAGGATCGAATGGCAAGAATCAAGGAGCTGAGCCACGAAGGAGAAGTCCTCTGCCGAAAGCGACATGTTCGACAAGGACAGCGATCGCAGGTGCTCCAAAGTCTGCCTGCACTCTACAGTCTTCCTGCACTCTAGAATCGATCTAAGACGGAGGCCTGAGTGCTTCAGGCAGTTGTTGGAGAGGACCAAGTCTGTCAGGCACGTGCTCCTTGCGATAAGGTCTGGCAGGGCCCTCACGTCAGACGCGAACATCGTGCTCGGCTGCCTGATGAAGTTGTTGCCAGACAGGTCCATGATCCTCAGTCTCGTCCACTTGGACTTGATCAGGGAGGTGAGGAACTTTGAATTTCTCACTGACTCCAGACCAGGCAAAACGAGGTCAACTTTCGCCATCTTGAACCGGAGGATTGCTTCGGACTGTACCAGCTCCTCCTTTCCATGCCTGATGTGGATGGTGATGTTCTCTGCAAGTAGCAGCTGCTCTCTGAAACGATGGCAGACAGTCATCCCATGAAAGATCCGTGAGGGGATGAAGGAGAAAATTCTCTGCAAGATGTGGTCAGGCACATCGATGAAGTAGGAGGTCTTCTGAGGTGATGGCATCCGACCAGTCATGGTGACAGTCGAACTCATTCAAGAGCCATGAGCTCGATGTCAACTACATCGCGACAAGACAGAGGATCTGACAAGCTTCATAGTCGCTGCTCCATGTCAATCTTCGACGACTTCGTAGGCTCGTACCATCGTCAGCCTCCTGCTCCGCCCACTCAGCTGCAAGAATGGAGGGAGAGAGACGGTCGCTGCGGCCTTGAGGATGGAGACGAGACAACACTCGCCGTCGGAGGAGGAGAGAGGAGGAGGGGGATGGAGTGAGGAAATGAACGTGGAGAGGAGAGGAGACAGAAAGGCTTGTCCTTGCAGTGGTATAAGCAAGTACCACCGGTACTCGCAGATTATTCAAGGGGTAGGGGTACTCACCATCATAGGACACAAGGTTTTGGTCCATAGGGAGGAGCATTGAGGGTGGTCGATGTTTTAAATATAGGGGGGTAGTCCAGGAGGTACCCCATTTTCTCCAGTAAACGAGGCCTTAAAATCGTATAAATGACGGGGTGAGGTTATTGTGGGGGGTAGGGTTAATGTGTCTCCAAGGGGTGGGGGTAGTAGTCATCGGGGGTCCAAGATGAGATGAGGCCGATGGAGTCTCGTCAGAAAATTTAAAAAGAAAGCGTAAAACAAAAAAGAAAACCCTTTTTTGTTTTGGATAGTGTAAAAGTCATAACGATCATGTAACGTTAAGTGATAGGCTGATGCTGTAGGACAACTGAGGGTTGAGAGGAGAGGAGAGGAGAGGAGAGGAGAGGAGAGGAGAGGAGAGGAGCGGAGCGGAGCGGACAGGACAGGACAGGACAGGACAGGACAGGACAGGACAGGACAGGACAGGACAGGACAGGATAGGAGATTGGAGTACAGGCTGGATCAACGCAGCATAATAGTTGAGACGAAGCAGGGGAGAAGCTGAAAGGGAAGGGGCGAGACAAGGGCACACGCGACGCGAGGGTATTGTGTGAGTGAGTTGAAGCAGCAGCGAGCAACTGAAGACAAGGTAGTCACCTTCATCGCGCGGCTCTGCACATTTGTTGAAGGAAGTGGTTGCGCATGAATTTGGATCTTCCTTTCGGACCCTCGTTTGGCTCAGCCAAGCGTCGCAGCCTTTTCCACTCATGGCACGTATTTCCACGTTTGCTGGATAGCGATGATACTGAGCGCTTGAATCTTGTTCTTGTTTGGCTGTACTAGAGGTGCGGTTCCTGGACAAGACCTCCAAGGTTTCAAACATGAAGACATTCCGCATGGAGCGGCTGGACAAGGAGGGAGGGACGAGAGAGAGGAGGGGGGGGAAGATGGACCTGGTAGAGTCCCTCCTCTCCGACCTAGGAGTTGCCGCTCCTCCCCTCGAGACGGGGCACTTGGCGACAGAGTCTCCCCCATCAGACAAAGCGGGAGCGGCAGTAGACACGTCGGACGATGAGATCGACGAGTGCATTGATGGTATACCGTCGCGGAGGTGGTTGGCTGCCAGGGGATCGAGGGCAGCGGCTAAGGGCAACAAGTGGCAGTTGAAGTCGACGCTTCGAGCAGCAAAGGACGCGATGAAGCGACTAAGGCCGATAGATTGGACCAAAATCCGCGAGAACACGCGGGTCATGCCAGGATGGGGCGGGGAGTGGGGCAGCATCGATGGGTCGAAGGAGCACGAGTCGCTAGACTTCGACCCTGTCAACAATGCCTACTGGATGGACTCATACAGGCACCTGCCCCGCACTCTCCGCGCGTTCAGTCAGGCGATCTTCTCCTCCAAGTTCATGTACCGATGGATCCTGACTGTTGTGATTGGAGTCTCGGTCGCTGCCTCTGCGCAGGTGGTTCAGAGCCTGATTTCCCTGCTCATCGGGTTTCGCAACCAAATGCTTCAAAGCCTCTTTGACCAGCGGAGGACCGAGGCCGATATTCTCATCTTCTTCACCATGTACAACGCTGGGCTCGTGCTCATCGCCGGTTTTCTCGTTGTCTTCCTGGAGCCGCGGGCGGCGGCCGATGGCATCTCAGAGATCAAGGCCTACCTCAACGGCAGCAACATCCCCAACTGCTTCTCCGTCCAGACCATCATCGTGAAGCTGCTCGGGTCGATCTTCGCCTCCTCGGCAGGGCTTGCTTGCGGTCCCGAGGGCCCTCTCATCCACATCGGAGCAGGCATCGCGCACGCGGTGACGGCAGTGGACAAGATCTACACCTTCCTGCCCTGGCTGCCCCACTCAGTCCTCGCTCAGTTCCACAACGACAGGGATCGCCGCGAATTCATCGCTGCTGGGGCTGGTGCAGGCATTGCGGCTGCGTTCGGGGCTCCCATAGGAGGCGTGCTGTTTGCGCTGGAAGAAGCTGCTTCCCACCTGTCGCCGCAGCTGATCTGGAGGATCCTGACGTCGGCGCTCGTTGCCACCTTCACCCTGGCGCTGATCAAGTCGAACGGTACAGGAGGAGACATCAGCCTTGCCGGCCTCCTCTCCTTCGGCACGGCCATCTCCATCGGAGACGCCAAGGAGCGGACGCTGAACTCGGATGGCACGGACAGCGTCAGTGCTCTGGACGCTCCCATCTACGTCTGGGAGCTCTTCCTCTTCATCATCCTCGGGGCCGTAGGAGGAGTTTTCGGTGGTTTCTTTGGCGCAGGTTTCGATTTCCTGACCCCTCGGCGCCCCCGATCGCGATTCCTCAAGATGGTGGAAGTCCTGCTCATCTCGCTCGCCACGAGCTACTCCGTCTTCTTCTTCGCCTCCAACTACCCGGTATGCAGGAACGACGGCTCATGGACGTGCAAGGAGGCAGACAACTGGGGCGGGTGGTGCGGGGGGGTTGTCGACAACACGACCTGCATCGGCGTGCGAGCGGAGTGCGTGAATGCTACAGGATGGGTGTGCATCGGAGGTGGGAACAATGGGCTGGCCTGCAGGGGGCGGGGGGACTGCGAGTGGAGGGGAGGGAAGTGTCATCCTCGCTATGCGACGAAGAAGTTTGGGGTGAGGCTTGGATGCCCTGAGGGGCAGTACGACGAGCTTGCGACGCTCTTCTTCGGTAGCAAGGAGCAGAGCATCGTGAGGATGGTAACCCAAGCCTGGCCGCACGAGCCCTTCAGCAACACCTCGCTCTTCATCACCTCCATCCTGAACCTCTTCCTCATGCTCATCACGTACGGCTCTCCCCTCCCCGCTGGTTACTTCATGCCCAGCTGGCTGGTTGGCGCCTCCATCGGCCGGCTCTTCGGGCAGCTCGTCAAGGCGTATGTGGGAAGCAGCGTCTACTCGGGGGCGTACGCACTGGCAGGGGCAGCGGCGATGCTGGGAGGAGTACAGAGAACTTCGATCTCGCTGGTTTTCATCATCGTGGAATGCACTTCCAACGTTCACTTCCTGCTGCCGATCGTGACGACGCTCATGGTGGCCAACTTCGTGGCGCAGAAGTTCACCAAGGAGGGCGTCTTCGACATCTCTCTGCGCCACCACTCTCTCCGCTTCCTCCCGCACCACCCCGACTGGCTGATGAGCCTCTGCACAGTCTCCGACGTCATGGCCAACCCCGTCAAGTGCCTCCACACCGTCGAGAAGGTTGGCAACATCATCGACCTGCTCCGCAACTGCCACCACAACGGATTCCCCGTCCTCTCCCTGGAAGGGAGCAGAGACGAGAACTGCATCCCCAGGGACCGCCTTGAAGGTCTCATCCTCCGTTCTCACCTCCGGCACATTCTGGGCACGAGGTTCATGCGCGACGGCAGCACGCGAGACAGCCTGTGGAGCCGAATCACCGCAGCCAGGATGTCAGAAGTCTCGCTGGACGGAGAGATCGAGCTGGTGAGGCGCAAGGGCGTTCTCCTCCCTCCTGCTGGTTGCTGACGTTGTCTTCAGTTCCAGCTCATCGAGTACAGGAGGAGGAAGGCGGAAGTCAGTGCGGTGAAGGTGCTGCTGAGTCCTTCCCGGTGGCCTCCGTCTCACGCCTTGCTGCAGGAATGGGAGTGGGGCATGTTCAGCACAGACGACCGGGAAAGATACGTCAACCTCGCCGCCTACATGAATGCTGCTTGTAAGGCTTCCTTTCTCCTCCTTCCTTTCCTGCCTCCCTTGCTCCTTTCTCCACCCTGTTCCTCCTCATCTCTCTCCTCCCTCCTCCTTACAGTGTCCTCGTTGCCATGTCCTTCTCTCTTCTCATCACATCCTCTTGTCATGTCTTCCTCCCTCCTCATGCTCCCTCAGGTTACAGCGTCTACTCTCAGTGCCCATTGTCAAGGGCCTACACCATCTTCCGCTCCCTGGGCCTCCGGCATCTCCCGGTGGTGAACCAGAGGTTCGAGGTGGTGGGCATGTTAACCAGAGCCAACTTCTCTGAGAGAGTTCTGTACGTCTCTCCCGCCTGCTGGGACTTGGCTGAGGTGGCTGCAGGCACCTTGCTATACACTCCTACTACACCGAGGAGGAGCTCGTCCTCGACGCCCACGACGCCCCCAGCTGGCCTCGACTGCACTCGCGAGAGGTGAGCGCTGTTCCCGTGCCTCGTCCTCTGACGGTCGTCCAGATCCTCGAGCGGCAGCGGACGCGAGAGCCTCTCAATGCCGGCAGCGAGCTCGTGCTCCTTGGCGGCCCCTCGGAGGGCTGGCAAAGTCGCCTGGTCAGTGCCCTTGAGCTGGGAGGGTATCGCAGGAAAAGGGAGAGTGACAGGAAAGAGCTTGTAGAGTATCTCAGCATATCTATTCTTTCACATGCCGTTAATGCTTCCCGCTCTTGTCTGCGTGCTCCTCTTTCGCCTGGACGGCTTGTTTGACATGCTCCTTGTGGTTTTGTGTTACCTGCTTCTTCGCATGCTGATGCGCTGCTGGGATCGACTTGTGGACCTGCAGAAGAGGATCATCGACGAGATCGAGAGGAGGAGGTTGACCTTGAGCAGCTCCTTCTTGCTGAGAACCTTGTGCATGCGACGCTGATACAGGGCTCGGCGAACAGCCTGAGCATGCTGGAGAGCGAGAGGTGAGAAAGTCATCATCTCGGATACTGAGAGTGGGAAGACGAGGGGGATGGTTGACGGGGGGGGAGGGGGAGGAAAATAGAGGAGGGGATGGTTGACGGGGGGGGCGGGGGGGGGAGGAAGATAGAGGAGGGGATGGTTGACGGGGAGGGGGGGGGGGGAGGAAGATAGAGGAAGGGATGGTTGAGGGGGGGAGGGGGGGGGAGGAAGATATTGTACCTCTTCCGGACGATGGGAAGATAAGGGGGGCAATGCTGAAAAAAATCCTGTTCGTCCTCGAGGCATCATCCCCCTCTCTCTTCCTCCCTCTTCTCCTCCTCTCCTCTCTCCCTCCCCCTATCTTTTGCTCCCTCCTCTCCTCCTCTCCTCCTCCTCCCCGCTCCCATCCCCAGCATCTTCCGCTCCAGATGACCGG